GTCATTGGAGGCACTTAAAGTGATCGTTTTTCTCCAATTTGGCACTTAAGGGCGCGCATGGAATCCATTCTGGAGTAGAAATTCTGCTCTAGAATGCATTCCGGAACAGAAATGCGTTTGTTAAAAAATTTCCGGAATGCATTCTGGAGCAATTTTTGCATTCTGGAATAAAAATGCGTTTGTTAAAAATACTTGATTCCAGAATGCATTCTTGATTTCAGAATGCATTTTTTATTCCAGAATGAGTTTTGGGCAAGAAAAAAAGAAGCTACTTTTTGTAGCTTCTCTCTTCCAGAATGCATTCTCCCTATTTTCTCTCTTTTTCTTACTAATTTTTTTTCAGAAAGTGCATAAAAATTGAAAAATTCCAGAAAAATTCATAAAAATTTCCAGAAAATAAAAAAAGTCAGATTTCGGGAAAATAGGAAATTTGGTGAATTTTTTTTTATAAAATATAAAAAAATCAAAAATTTCAAAACTTCACAGAATGGCTTAGAATACCTTTGGCACCCACTTTGAGTGAAATTTAATTTTTTTGAGGTGCCCAAAAAAATCAAAAAATCAAAAATTTCAAAACTTCACAAAATGGTTTAAAATACCTTTGGGCACCCACTTTGAGTGAAATTTATTTTTTTAAGGTGCCCAAAAAAATCAAAAAATCAAAAATTTCAAAACTTCACAAAATGGCTTAGAATATCTTTGGGCACCCACTTTGAGTGAAATTTAATTTTTTTGAGGTGCCCAAAAAAATCAAAAAATCAAAAATTTCAAAACTTCACAAAATGGCTTAGAATACCGTTGGGCACCCACTTTGAGTGAAATTTTTTTTTTTAGGTGCCCAGAAAAATAAAAAAATAAAAATAGATTTCTGTTCCAGAAATCAATTTCTGGAGCAGAATTAGTCATGTTTTATCAAACAGATTTCTCCTCCAAAAATCAATTTCTGGCAAGAATTCCGGAAATCAATTTCTGGCAAGAATTTGATTTCTGGAGCAGAATGGTTACCATTCGCGCCCTAAGTAATCCGGCGAAAAGTTTTGGAACCAAAGTAAGCGCCGTATGAAAATTATGGCATATCTGATGGACAATAAAAAAAGAAATGAAAAAAATATAAAAAATTAAAGACAATCTGGAACAGCTCCACAACATTTTAAACTATTAATCTCTCATAATTTTTCAGCTTAATAACTCCTAGATTTAACCCACCAACTTAGAATTCACAAAGATCCGAAAATGGGGCTTGGTTTGAAGAATTTCTCTGATTAGATGAATAAAGGGTGTGAACACTTACCGGGCTTTGGAAAACGGAGGGAATCCAACTCGTAGAGATGTGTAGTGCTTGCATGTAACGAAACCATTGCCCCTCCAACTCATCGAGACGCTTAGTGCTTGCGTGTGACGAAACCTTTTCTTCTCTTCTTTTTCACGATCAACTCTACACAATGAAGAAGAAAGAAGCTTGAATGTGGGCCGACGATGGGTGGGCTGAGGGCTGAGGGCTTTGGGCTTAGACTTGCACTTGGGTCTAACTTCCTTTTCTTAACTAAGCCCACTTGTTACAGTATCGGAGGAGGAATTCAACACGCATTATTTACTTCACAATAATCCTCGCTACAGGAAGTGACCTCTCCGCTTGAAAATACCAATCTTCGAACATTTTTCTCTTTGAAGAGCAAAACATCTTTATAGAACCCATCTCCAAATGAATATCATGATATTTTTTCCAAGTTTAGGCATTGTTAAGTGTTGGGCTCGAACTCAATGCATGCAGAGGAAGGACGTACCTGCCACCCCTGAGTGAAATCCCTTTCCTAAGGAAGTTGATTCTTGCAAACTTGGATGAGTTGGAGTTCATTCAAAAGACTAGTGACCTGAAGCAATCTAATATTGAATACCCCTTCTCATATGCGGAGACACTATCCCTCTTCAATTGTCGCAACCTAAAAGAATGGTGGGGAAGAAGGCAACTAGTGGGAGCAGATCACAATCATCCACGGTATGGTTCATAATCATCATTTCCAATTGTGCATTCAGAGGATTGTCCTCTCCTGAATTCTCTGTCACTTTTCCCTTGGATAGAAGACTTGATCTTAAATGGATTTAGCACGAAGTTGTTGGAACAACAAGTGATGGCCATTCCAAATTGTCCATTGGAAACAGCACTGGTATCCATATTAATCCCTCCCTCTAAATTAAAGGAACTAGGGCTTCTTAATCTGTTGGAGATGGGGCACTCGATTCTCAAGACTTTACCTCCATTCTATTGTAATCTTGAAAACATGGGCATCGGCAGCTACGACAACCTAAGGAGTGTCTCTCATGGCATGCAGTACCTGTCCTTGCTTCAACACCTCGAGATTTTTGCTTGTAAAGAACTCAATTTGTCAAGCCACGATGACGAGCACGGCACCTACTGGCGATCCCTCACAAAACTTCATAATCAAAAGCACGAAGTTGTTGGATAGAAAACTTGATCTTTTATGGAGTTAGCACAAAGTTGTATGAACAAGAAGTGATGGCCGTTCCAAATTGTCCATCAGAAGTAGACCAGTATCCACATTAATCCCTCTCACCAAATTAAAGGTACCGATGCTTCTTAATTTATTGGAGATGAAGCAGTCGATTCTCAAGACTTTACTTCCATTATTTAGTAATCTTGAAAACATGGGTATCGGCGGTTGCGACAACCCAAGGAGTCTCTCTTGTGGCATGCGATACCTGTCCTCGCTCCAATACCTTGAGATTTTTGCGTGTAAATAACTCAATTTGTCAAGCCACAATGATGAGCACGGCACCTGGTGGTGATCCCTCGAAAAACTCTGTATCTTACTATCTTAAAACTTCTAAAGCTAGCGGCATTACCCGAAGGGATTCAATATGTCAGCACTCTACATGCTCTTGTGGTTGCACGCTATGAGAATCTAAAGAGTTTGGGGAATGGATTGGCAATTTCTTCTCTCTGCTCCAAGTAATTCATATTATTGATTACCTAGATTCAACGTATTTGCCTGATGGGATGCACCTCCTCACCTGCTTGAAGCAATTGAGAATCGTTGTGTGTCCTGTTATGGTAGAGAGGTGCCAAACAGAAAGTGGTGTAGATTGGGAAAAGATTGGGCATTCCATACTTATCATTTGAATACACACGTAGTTCCGACTGAAGAATGGCTTGTATCTTTGCTTTTGTTTGTGAAGATCAAAAACCTTAACTATCATTATGGCACGTACGAGAAAACACTATCGCTTTGGAGCATTCTAAATACCTTTCTAATATGATATTGACAGTAAGTTATTTTTCAGAAATGGAAAGGAAAAAAGAAATAACAATTAATCGCAAAGTGAGGTGAGTTGGCAACTATCTAATGGCCATATGTCAACTTCCCATAAGGCTCCATGGTACTTGATTAGATTAAGAATGTGGTTTTCAATAAAACTTTTGTCTCCCACACGTCTGTTGAACTTAAGACAAAATACTCAATTCTTTTGGAGTAAGACGGATTGTACATGTATAATACACATTTCGTATTGTATTTAGGAAGACAATTCCTTTTTTCACTCATTTTATACATTTTTGTGAGTCAAATATATGTTTAGCCTGTCAATTATAACATTTAATCCAGATTTCGCAAATATAACTACCTCATTTCACGTCCATGTAAACAAATACGATATTCTTTTAGTTTATCATTAGATAGCACGAGGTGTAATAATATTCAATTGTTATGCGTGATATTTAAAAAAAAAACTACAAATTCTACTGGTTTGTAATACGATTCTCACAACAACAACATAATTAAATTTTTAACGTAATAGTACGTACTTTTCAAAGTACTTCAACAAAAATGATGTTTAACATTCGCCCAATGAATATAACAGTTCCAATGTTTTTCGCCCTCGCTATCGAAATACCAAAGCTAGCCGGTTCCGTCACCTATCAAAAGATCCAACTACTCCGCAGCACGAGCAATGTGCTCCACAGTCTTGAGGACGTCGTCAAGACCGTTCGATCGGTGCTTTTAGACGCCGGGGAGAGGCACTGGCAAGATGGCCAGGTCGAGCGGTAGCTCAAGAAGCTGTAGAGACTGTTATACGAAGTAGAGGACTTGCTCGACGATGTATCCCGGTGGCTATATTCCTCGTCATTAATTTCATCTTCGGTAGTTTTGCACATTTTTGGGAGTTGGGTTTGTGAAATACGTTGTGCTCGCAACACTTGCTTGTATATTATTGTACGTAGTCGCTTTTATTCAATGGAAAAATATGACATATATGGCCCGTGAACTTTGGCCAAAATGTGCAATGTTTCCCTAAACTTTTTATTTGTTCAATATTGTCCCTAAAACTATGATCCAATATGCAATGCGGTCCCTGGACTTTTAATTTGTTCAATGTGCTTATTGAACTTTGATCCAATGCTTAACGTGATCCTTGAAATTTTAAATATTGTCATGTAGTTCAAGAGCTACATTAAGCATTTACCAATAGTTTAAAGATCACTTTGAACAAATTAAAAGTTCAGGAGGTGACGTTGTACATTGAACCAAAGTTCGGGGATCATCTGTGCTATCAGCCCTTATTCAACCGACACCGGTAGAAATTTACGCCGGCCCCGCCGTTGAAATCTCCGACCAGGTGCAGCGGCGAAAGAGTCAGGACCGGCGGCGGCGACGGCAAGACGGCGACGATGATATCGGTTCGTGCAAACAATTAAGTACACCAGACCCTTCTCTCTCTCTCTCTCTCTCTCTCTCTCTCTCTCTCTCTCTCTCTCTCTCTCTCTCTCTCTCTCTCTCTCTCTCTCTCTCTCTCTCTCTCTCAAGCAATGCTAACAATTCATACATAGCAACATTACCAAATGGATCTAGGCTCGTATGCGCAGTAGGTGCGCACTTGCTATAATGGGTCGAATTAAAAAGGCCCATGATCTCGTCCTCTTGTCTTGACTTTTTGACCCCTGCCTCGTCTCTTTTCAACTCTCTGTCTCTCCTCCTCCTCCTCCTCCACCGCACCACTTCCTTCCACGAAACGCCAGAGGGCAATTCCAAGGTTTGACCCTCCGTTCCGAGGCGTGATTTGCGCGATTCTTGGACCTTCGTCGTCGCGCCGTTGATGGGTTATTAAGAGGGAGGGAGAGAGGGGACGGGGTGATATGGAGATGCAGCAATCGTGGAGGATGAGATTCTCCTTCAGGAACGCCACCCTGTTCGTCTGCTTCCTCAACGTCGTCGCCGCTCTCTTCTTGCTCCAGGGCTTCTTCACCTCCTTCTCTGCTTCCTCGCGATCGGCTCGATCGAATTCTGGTCCCTATCCCTCACTCTCTCTCTCTCTCTCTCTGCTCGATTAGATGTCTTGCTTTGAATTGCTGTGACAAAGGGACTCGATTTGATCGGTGTAAGCTTGGGTCTTGGTTTGTTGTTTGAGGGGGCGATTAAGATTATGCCTCTTGTTCGATATTGGTTGCCCTTATTGTACGTACCTCTGTATGGTCTGGATTGTGGGGGGACTCGTAATGATTAAATGCCCAGGTTCAAGACTTTGTTTTGACAAGATTTTGTGTGATAATTGACAGTCTGTACCTCGTCGCTCTTGCAAAAGATGTGCTATTGCATGTGGGTTTTGATTTATATGTTCATTGCACTCAGTAGGAGCTCAGTGCTCACTGAAATTTTTCTGGGATCTTTGAATCTCTTTCTTGTGCTTGTCTTGGACAAAAGGCATGTTTAGCCCAAAGCCCTTATACAGGGGCTCTTACCCTATGAGCGCAAAAAAGATGCAATGGCCGAATTTTCCCATTGCTTTGCTCACAACTCCTGCATTTTTACTTTAATCTGTAGACCCAAATACAAGAAAAGATCGAAGTAGCGGTAGCTTTTGTCTCGAATGCACAGCATGTATTTTTTTATATGTCAAGCAGAATTTACATGTAGATTTCTCTGTATTGAATGTTGATGCTTATTTAAAAAGGATTTTCTTTTCAGTTTGAGAAAGATCTTACAATGTTTGCTGTCTCAAGACTGTTGTGTACAGTTTAATTTACCATCTTTCAATCTCTTAAATCGTGAAGTTCCTCTTTCCCTAAGCAAACTGCTGGCTAGTGCTTTGATTCTTTCCAATTTTTTTTATCTGATTTTCTAGGCAGTGGAGTGTAAACTTCCCTTGGAGGGCATGCTTCGCTCAATCTGTGCAGCCACGGTCTATAATTCAATATCACTAGATTTTCTAGATGTTGCAATGGCAATTAGCGAATAATCCGCAATCATTTGGTGGTTGTAAAATGGAACTGTAGTTGTGTAAATGGCATGAAATATTACAAATCCATGGAACGGTTTTCTTATACTAGCATGTATCTCTTTTTCAGCACGACATTCAGGACCATGACAACAGATTGTCAATATGTGTTGGTTTTGGCACTCTTTCTCTGTTTTTTTTCCCTTTTGTGGAACACTCATCAGTTTGATGTGGCTTTTCTGCTGATTATTTAATACTCTGATTTACAGCCATGCTCCGGTATATAAAGGAATGTGAAGAAATTCGTCTTTCTATGCAGCCGTTGGCATTGATAAAAAGAGTAAGATTTTTCCCCCTAACTGTACTTTTCTCCTACGTAATGTTCATTATTGAAATGCTAAATTTTACTAGTCCTATCCGAAGTTTTATGCTTCATTCTATTCTGTAGTGCAATCAGATTAGAGATCATCTTTAAACATGTGAGCTGTCAGTCAGTTGACTTCGGAATTTTCAGTTTGCGCAATTGAATTAATTGTAGTTAAGCATACATATTGTTATTCCGAGTTGACTGAAATGGTCCTTGTTTGAGATTCATCTGTTTCCATTTTCAGGTGAAAGAAATTCAGCAAGAAGCTTATACTGAACCTGAAACGGTCCAGCCAAAGCAGACTGCTGCTATTGATCTTTCCAAACGGTTAAAGGATTTCCGTTCATTTAATGATGCTGCCAGTGTGAAAGGTAGATGAATCTCTCTCTCTCTCTCTCTCTCTCTCTCTCTCTCTCTCTCTCTCTCTCTCTCTCTCTCTCTCTCTCTCTCTCTACATGCATGCGCCCAATATGTTGGAATCGGTGATATAGTTTAAGTTTACCATTGTTCTTTTTGTTTGCCATTAAGTTTACAATTTTTCGCTGGCATCAAATTTTTTCCTTGTGTGCGCTGGTCTCATAATGCTCTCTATCATGCATACCAGTTGATCTGATGGTGATTAACTCAGTTGATCTTATTATTTTTAACATATTTTGTTGTATTTGTCCTTTATTTTCTAAAATATCTAATCTTAAGCTGTGAGCTACTAATCTCTCTCTTAAAATTGAAGATCTACATCATCCATCAATAAATGTAAATTAACCACATATGTTGTGGTTTTGAGGGGGGCAAATTGTACAAGTACATGCATCTTATAATTGGTCATTTCTTGAGCAGAAACTTCTTGAAAGAGATTGAATGGGACATAAGTGCATTTTGAACCTCGTGGGTCATGTTGGTTACTGGGGGATCATAGTTATTTATTCTTGCAATCCCAAGCCCGGCGTGATTATATTCACTTCGGATTTCCTGCTACATATTGCTGCCCCTGGTCCATAGTAGTCATGCAGCATACAGTCTAATTCTGTTTTGTTGAATGTGCATGTGCTTTCTGTAAAGTCCTATCAAATTGCTTTCATAATTCTCTACCTCCACCTTGCGAGCATCTAAATCCTTAAAACAATACCAATCTATCTAGTTAATTCCAGAAACCATCAGTTTCTTTCCCTGGTATAGAATATCGACATCTTTGAGGGTTTCTATGATATTCTGTTATCATAAATCAACGTCTCTGACTAGAACATTTCGCCAATATATGATGTCTATATGATAGCTCTGGAGGAATGGCGTAAGAGGAAGATGGAGAGAGCGAGACAGCGGGAGTTGGAAAGGAATGGAACTGCTGCCTTCCAAGCTTGACGCGAAATTCCGACGACAGTCAAATGTTTGTAGCGATACTTTGTAAACCGCACGCAATCGCCTGTCGTGAAGTATTTAACATTAATGTATACGAGGACTGGTTGTATGATGCATACTGTGTGAAAATGTATATATAATGCAGAACAGTCCACTCAAAAATGAGCAATATATAGTGAAGACTTTCTGATTTAAGCACCATCTTTGTAAATTTTACTGGTATGGTGTTTAGGGCATTGAAGTTGAAAATTTTGGGCTGTAATTGGAATGAACAAACCTAAACTACTCTTGAATGGATTGAGAACCCATGAGACAACATTCTAATGAACATGACAATATTAAAAAGCATCCATGATCCGTACGTTGGACTGCCGCTCTAAGCATGTTCAATATGACTTGTCTTGCTTCAAGCTGGGTAAATTGTCTAACTTCTCAAGCCTTCATCCCAAGAATCGGTTGTTAGGGAGTACTAAAGTGCTATTATCGATTTTTATTTGAGTAACTTATCGGCTCTTATTAAAATAACCACTTTTTATTTTAGTAAAATTATCAACTCCTATTGAAGTATTAACTCTTATCGGAGCTCACCCTTATTTGAGTAAGTTATCAATTCGTATTAAAGTGCCAACTATTATTTGAGTAAAGTTACCAGCTCATATTCAATATTTAGCTGTGCACTTATATTTGAATAAGTTACTAAATCATATTAAGCGACCAAATTTTAGTTTCGAACTCTACGAACTTATGTCGGAGTAAATTACCTACTCCTAACGATCGTCAACTAAGTAAGTTATCAATTCGTATTTTAAATCTCAGTATCTATTTAAGTATATCCATCTATATTTGAGTGATTTACGAACTCTTACTTGAATAAATGACCAACAAAACTACTTTCCATATTTCATGGTTATTCAAATCAGATTGGCAATAGCGCCCTTATCACTTAGATCAGTCGAACTGGGAAGTGGACGCTCTTATTAGTGAAGGGCGAGATCTGTTAGCCAGCTTTTCAAATATTAACGTGGCTCATTGCAGTAGGGAGGCAAACAAATTTGCATGGGTGGCCAAGGCCCAAAGAAATAAAAGCCTACCTTGTAATTGGATCTTTTATCCCCTTCAAGTTTTTTGGGATTTATTATGTTCCGGTCGTTCGATAAATGCTAAGTATTTCTTTTCGACAAAAACAAAAAAATCAGATTGGCAACACCTACCACCCTCTTGACAATTACAAAAAGAGTTCTTGCAAAATTAATAAATAAGATGAAAGAGTATGAGGAATAATTCAGATCTTTTGAATTTTGGGAAAAAATTACACTCCCGATTAAAACTTCAAGATCACAACGGTAGAATGTCGCGACAATTGAAATATTTTTTTAATGACTTGAATCCCAACTTTTTAACTAGTTTTCAATCCCATGATTCGCATCGAATACATTTCAAAGGATGATAAGAAAAGCACATTTAGTAAATTTAAAGTGAAACACGCATTGTTAATATCTTTTCTCATCCTATGATTATGTATATACTAACTGATAATCGTACATTTGTAAAATTGTAGTGTTATTTCTCGTCTACTTTAGTCTACTTCAGTTTTTCCATAGGCTTTGGCCTCATCTTGTAACCGAAAAAAGAATCAAAGGTTTATGACTTAAAAGTAGAGCGAAAATCCTAAAATAAATTTTGAAAAACAAGATTAGAAAATGAGAAGTGATACTTCCCCGGCCCAAAAGTTTTGTTCCACAACTATTTCGAATTGCATGTCCTGTTAGCGTGTGACATAATCATAGGCCGATGAACAGACGAAAGTTCATATATCTCCAACCTATAATAGGCTCGTGCGGGCTTAAACTGACATTGCTCCGAGCGCAAGGAGAATCTCTCGGCACGGTCGATCCATATAAACTAGAGAACTCTTGTTCGTTCTCCTAGCAGCAGCATACAAGAACACAGGATCAAGCGCCGCTGGCCATTTAATCGTCTTAGCAAAATACATAATCAGTTCGTCACGTGGTATATGCAAATTACAACAGCCCGCGTTGTGCGATGGAGGAAGCTAGACATGCTTAACAGTCATTCTATGCATAATGCCATTGCAGACATCCACAACCCAAGTGTTCTTGACCAGAAAATCACGGCGGAGTTTTGGTCCATGAAACATACCACCGTTATATGCTACAAAATGCTATACTCCCTGAGGGCATTGAGTGCCAACCGGTCACAGTAGACAAGCAGAGCATTGCCATCCACTTTAACTAGCAAAAATTAGTCCCGCTGTACATAAAAGGTTTGTCAAAATCTAGCTCCGGAAGTGCCTCAGAAGGATAGACATTCAGCCGACTCCTGTACAAAAACACAGACATTAGCATCGCCATGACAAAACAAGGAACTTTACCTCACAATGCTTGTAAAATGATATAGTGTGAATTGCATTGCTCACCCTCTAATTCGTCGAAGATGCGATATATATTTACTAGGCAATTATTAAGGTCAAAGTCAGAATAACGAGCTCTTGCAAATAGTTACATTTTTTTTCTTTTGCTAAGACAAGTAAGAAGGTATTGGAATCTGGCATGCATTTGTGCATTCTAATTGAAACGGATCAATCAAAGTCTCTCAACCATTAATATATGAACCGGCAAGTTTTCCTTGACTTGAGCCTGAATGACCTACCAATGCAGGCAAAAGTTAATATGGCTCTTTCAGGGGTTGAAAACCTCGCTTTTTTGGAGAATCTTGAATACGTTATCCATAGGACTTCCAATATACCAATACGAATTTCAGTCTTATGGAAGAAATTAACTAATGGAACACAGATACCAGGAGATGCTCACCGAGTTTCTGGAATTCATTTACCTGTGAACTATTAAACATCAGCTTCCCCGAAGAGCTTCCTACTGAATAGGATGCGGCGACAGTAGGCCCCAACCCAATCTCAGGAACCCGAAATATGGTTACTTTAAGCACAATGTCTTCTCTACGAACCATTTCGAAGATGCAGACATCTCCTATCTCCAGTTTATTGTCCGCCACAAACTCACGCCAACCTCTGCTTATCTTGCCTTTGCCATCGAAGAGAAGGCATCGAACGCGCCACTTCTTCCCATCAGAAACCTGAAGAGTGATGTCTCTGGAGTCTCCCTTTAGATGCATCCCAACAAAAGAGGTTGGCAGATTCTGTTCATGAGGGGGAAAAAAGAGCTTTTTTTAGGATCAGTATGTATCACAGTGAACATGAACTGAAATTATAACAAAATCCTGTCTGTGGATATAATGGAGGATGTAGGCATAGTTGTTGTCTTGCTAGTCATGTTCTTTTTGCAAATGATTAAATTGAAAAGGAAAAATCAGAATAAACTATAGCGGAGAGGACTTACCACAAGAAATTTCTCTCTCACATAAGATGGTCGCATGATTACTCGGAAGAAAGGATTATTGGGCTCATACATGTGAGATGCACGGATAGCCATGCCTCTTGCCTCAGTGATTGCAGCATTCCACTCCCTCGAAGATTTTCCATAGGATGACTTAACCGGAGGCAGTTCATCACCATTTTTCCTCAACACTGACGGCTCACTTTCATCTGCATCTTCATCATATGTGAAAAGAGAAAGTAAATAGGATAAAGCATTGACATAGGTATTGAGATTATGGTACTTACTAGATTCATTTATTTGCTTTCTCCTTTTCAGGTATCTGTTTCTCTGAGACAACCAATCTATCCCGACTCCATCGAATGTACTTTGGAGCTCAACTCCATCGACTTGTACCCCCTTGTCCCGATGGAAGACCTCCCAATCAGTTTTGGGCTCGGGCTTGATGATGTTGACACCAACATGAATCCTGTTTGTCATTCGCTGACCCCGATATTCATGGAAACACTTGTCCTTTGAACAGCTACAAATCGGGCATGCACAGCAAAGGTCTCTAATTTCGACAACATCGCCAATGTCTTGATTTTTCTTCCTATGCGTTGCAAATTGCTTACTCGAAATAAATTCTTTGCTACCAAGAGGATTGAGAGAATTCTTCTCCCAGGAAGCAGTCAGATTATATATGTAAACATGAAATGTGGAGTCCCCTTCATACTTGAAAATCAGAAACTGACCGGAATGAATGGAATGGTGCTCCAGGAATCTCTGCCAACCATCATGGAACCATAATCTGCGGTTATGTTTTCTTAACTCGACTAGCCAGATACTAGAATCGGAAGCGACGAGCCTAACGATGTCAGAAAGTTCGTCCCCATACTTCCGAGCAAACTTTTTTGGAATCCCCTGCAGATTGAAAGAAATTTAGTGGCATCCTTCCTTGAATTGATCATTACCAGAGGGCCAAAATGCTGATGTTCAATTACCAGTGAAGTTCATAAACCCCATAAGTACGGAGAACGTTAGCAAGTATAAGGAACAGATTAAAACAGCTGCCCACATGCTACATAAGTACATTGGCCAAATTAGCTCTTGCAGACCCTTCTTCACTCACTGAATGAAAGAAAGAATCCACATTAAAAATGCAATTGACATCTTAAGTGAAATTGGGTCATTCTCTAACTCGGCTCGTACCGGGACAAACTTTTGCGGGAAGTTGGGTTCAACTAATTGGGTCAAAAGACCCAACTTTTGGCCTTCCATTCGTACGGCTCAAAGTTCAGTCGCCTCTCATTCGACCTTTCCCAACATTTTCAAATTCATGAAACAGCTGCCTAACCATTCGACCCAGAAAAATTTCAGTCCTTTGACAAGGTGACCATTCACCAGCATGATCTTTTCTCCAATGTCATTTCTTTTACTCAATATGCTTAGAGAAAAAGAAAAGAACAGAAAAATCAGCCATGAATAGATTCCTCTGCTCAAGGGATTGCTTGCGTGGAGTTCATTTCTTGAGAAGCAGAGGACACAAAAACAAGCATGGTGACTGGTGAGTGACGATGATCAGTTCAAAGATTACCAGTTGCTTCTCATGGATGAGGGAGTCCACCATCAACCTGTAAAAGATGCATGCCCTCCTTCCACTTGCAGCTACCCTAACCTCCCCCTGCGACATAGCTCTTACGTCTGTCTTTGTTTTTCCTTGTTTTTGGGTTTCTTATTGTACTGGTGACAACAGTAAACAGTAAGACCTAATCATTACGCCTGCGTGACTCTCCATGAGAACTTTGACACGAAACAGTTCTTGATGTCCAGGTGTCCTCTCAGGGCTCAGGGTGGTGTTCACGTCACCAAGTTTTTGTTTAATTTTTCTTAGGGGATTTTTTCTCTGTCCCTTTCTTTTTCTCGCTGGAGTTTATTGGAAAAAGGTTTCCGCTTTTACCTTCTAAGCCTTCTAAGCCAATAAATTAAAAATCAAAAATTGTTTTTTTCTTCTTCATTTTCACAAGAGAAAATTTCAAATCGGTACTCAAAGTGAGCTCATTTTCTTAAAAAAGGATTCAAAGTGGACATAATGCCAAATAATAGCATGAAGTGCCCAATCAGTCTCAAATAGGGGCCCGAAATGCCCAATTAGTCTCAAGTAAGAGCCTGAGTTCACCGGCTAGTCACATGCTCACCAGCCGGCAAGCACGTCACTGTTCCGACGACTAGAATAAGAGCAATTTCGTTTTGTACTTTTTAATTTTTTTTTGTTTCTTTTTTCCTTTTTCAGTTTATTTCTTTTCCTTTTCCTTTTCTTCTTCTTTTTTTTTTCCTCTTTTCCCTCCGTCGGCCATAGCCGGGCCGGCGGAGGTTGCCGGCGTCGGGAAAAGAGGAAAAAGCAAAAGGAAGAAGAAAAGGAAAAGGAAAAGAAATAAACAAAAAAAGGAAAAAAGAAACAAAAAAAATTAAAAAGTAGAATACGAAATTGCCCTTGTTCCGGTCGCTGGAATAGTAACGTGCTTGACGGCCAGTGAGCATTTGACCGGCCGGCGAACTTAGGCCCTTACTTGAGACTAATTTGGTACTTCGGGCCCCTATTTGAGACCGATTGGGCACTTGAGGCCCTTATTTTGCACTATGTCCACTTTGGACCCCTTTTTGAGAAATGAGCCCACTTTCGGTACTGATTTGAAATTTTCCCTTTTCACAAGAAAGGAAATCTGAAAAATGCATCAACCAAAAGGGTCCTCGCGAGTGTGCTCGTTTTACAAAAAATGAGAGATTCGGAAAACATTTTTCGAAAAATAATTACTTATATCGTTTGGAAAAATTAGTCAACGGAAAATATATTCATCATCGATAATGATCTATGCCTAATTATTTTCGTGCGCGATGAAAAAAAATTTCATTTATTTATTTTTCTAAACGATATAAGTAATTATTTTTCAGAAAATGTTTTACGAATTGCTCATTTTCCGAGAAACGAGCGCACCCTCAGTGTCTATTTGTTTCGAGGAAAATATTTTCCTCATTTTCTGGCGTTTGGTTCACTTAGGAAAATGAATCAACGGAAAATGTTTTCCTAGTCAATGAAAAAAGGCTTTCTTACCAAAGCTTACATTCAGGAAATGATTTTCTCTTTGAAAAAATCGGAAAATGTTTTTCAAAATATGACTAGGTATGAGCACTTGGATCTAAAACTATATGCTTGGCCACAAAAACCTCGGCCTTAGTTCCTGGTGTCCCGACATCAAGGACCAAGTCGTTGGCGGCCAAGCCCAAGTTCATCGAGGCCAACCCAGGACCATAGTGCTCGGGCCTAGGGCCCTGATGCCCACACCCAGGACCATCAAGGCCGAGCTCGAACCCCTTGTGCTTGTACTTGATGCTTCGGTACTCGAACTTAGGTCCACAAAGGCTGTGCTCAATCCCAATGCTCGAGATCTAGTCCCAACCCTTAGGCACAAGTCCACAAAGACAATGCGCAAGTCCTTGATTAATGGAATTATTCTTATAAAACATTTTAAAAATTAATAATTTTATTTTCAAAAAATCGTATTTTTTTATTATTTTCAAAAGATCTAGGCGAACCGAGCTCAGCCAAGGCCGGCGAGCTTGCGGCTTGCCACATCGAGGTGATCTCGATCGAGGTCAAGGCTAGTGAGCTTGTGCTCGCCTATGGCTGTCACCAGTCGATCGCGGTGGAGGAAGGAAGAGAAAGAAAAGGAAAGCAAAGAAAAGAGAAAAAGAAAATAAAAAAATAATTTGAATTTTTTTAGAAAGAAAAGAAAATTAAAAAAAATTCGTTTTTTCAAAATAAAAATAAAAATTATTAAAAGTTTGATTTTTTTCTGAGATAAAGTAACGATATTGAAATCATTTTCCAATGAAATCTAAACATCAAAAAACGATTTCAATTATATATCACCAACTAAAGGAAAACTAATTATATTCCTAAAAAATGATTTCCGAGAAATCATTTTCCTTAATCATTGAGTTTTTTGCGAAACAAGCGCACCATTGGAGGTGAAATGCTTACTGATGTGTATTCCAATATGTATTTTATCAGTCACTGCTCAAAAAGAATATATCCAACGACTGAAAGGGCAAAAACAACACACAAGCACAGGCCAACCCACAAGTCCACATATTAAAAGACTGGAAGGGACCTTTGAAGATCCTTGCAAAAGTCCACATGCCTCTGACTTTTCTTTTGGGTGGGAAATGAGCCTGTATTCATTCATCTAGAAACCAAACTACTACAGGGACTAAATACGTTCTCCTAGCAACGGCAGAACCAGAAGCACAGGGAAATGGATTGAATGAAAATAAAAAAAAAAATGAAAGGTAAACCAACAAAAGCATTAGCTCAAGCCCAGTTTGCATAAGGATTTAGCTAAATCTTCTGCATTAGGGAAAATTTTCAGAAGCATCTCTCCATTACTACAACATCTTCTGCTTTTCAGGACCCCATCATTTTTCATCACTTGAAAGCTTTCCACCTCATGCAAAGCGGCTCTCCCCTCCCACCCAACCCAAAACAAGAAGAGGAAAGATTCGTACAGAGAGATCAAGAACTAGTTCTTGTGACAGCAATTCCACATCTCTCTGATGCATCTCTGTCTTCAATAAGTCAGGAACCCTGCCAATTCCTGTGAACCATTCTCTTTAAAAGTGTTGATTCTTCCTTCACATGCTGCATCTTGCTCACACTGCCATTTTTCTTCCGCAATGAATAAACTCATTACCCTCGCAAACAACATTGCGAGCCCTTCTTGATAAGCTTCCCCTGATTAACACGGCAATAAATGGTATAACACATTTCCATCTCGTTTCACACCTCTCAATCAGTTCAGAGATGCAAATGAATTCAATGTCATGCCCCTGTTATCCAATGCTATGTCGGTAGTACATTGATCGAGCATAAGTCCTCAAACAAAAGTTTCAGAATAGAAGAAGAATACAAGGAAACCGAGGAAAGATTTAGCCAGAGAGAGAGAGAGAGAGAGAGATGGACTTCCTACTACGTCTGCACGAATAGACATGTTAACTGCACAGCCATGGTGCAATGCAAACTTTATATACAAGTTAACCGTAAAACAGATTTTGGGATTTATGGGTTTATGTGTACAACCGATGTCAGTATTCGACAATTCCGACCAGCGTGTGAAGCGGCCTTATCCTACAAGTACAAAAAAGGTAGACTGTCAGCAAAAACAGCTATCAGTACTTCGGCCGGCAGCTGATCTGCATGAGTTCTAGTCCTAGGCAAAAATTTCTCCTACAAGGTTATCACGTCCAAAAATTTGATGGACCGCCAGTTTTGTTGTTTCTAATATGTTCACCGGCAGCATCAGCTCGCATATAAAAAATGGGGACAGAACTGGGAAGCGGCATCCGCAGACACATGCCCGCAAAAGATCCAACCAAAATCTGCATGTAAGAAATTATAAAGGTGAGTAATGCTGTCATCAGACGTGAATGCTTTAATCTTCTCAAAGAAACAAACCAAAACTTTGTGCCACAGGAAGAGCAGAAATCAAAATGAAATGCAACTGCAGGATATGACCAAGAAGATTGCTAGTAATCTTTAGAGCCACATCCCACTCACAAGCAATACCACATGTGGTGAATAAATCAAGTAATTTGCACACCACAAAACAAACTCATACCATCGACTTTAAAAAATATTTGTGTCCATTGAGTTAATATGGCTTTGAAGTTTCGGTGGACAACACACAGACAGTGAATTACAAGTTGCTGAACTAAAGAGAAATCCCGATTCAATTGGAAGGAAAAAATACTCGCAGAAACTTTACACTGCTCATAGTCATAGCAAGACTTCTACCAGAAACAACAAGAATTAAGTGTTTCGATATCTGATCCACAAAATAAAAACATGAGATTTATCTCCTTTTTTTGTGGGTCAAGGCAAAATGGAGGTGAATCGCATAATGAAGGTCAAATCATAAGTTTACAGGAGAAAGAGGAGCATAGTATCTGAGAGATATTCTATACGTCAATACGGTTATTTCATAAAACCTAGCACTTCAAAATATTAAGCAACGTGCCTATTCCATTCCGACATTCCCTTTGATCAACTTCATATCTTGGCTATCCTGGACAAACAAAATAATGAAGAAGCTTCCATAGTTCCTCTTAATATCCTTCTGATCATATCTCATGAACTTCACGAAGACCCATTTAATCAGCTCAGTTCCATACAGCCGACTAAAAGCATGTCCATCCACGGAAATATGAACCAAGGCTGCTAATGGCCCTATGTCACCACCGACGGGAACATCTATATGTCAACACCGACGGGAACATCTAAATTAGGATTTGGCGTGCAGTTAAAATGACGGAACAGTGTAAGATTAGATCCACATAAATGATGCCAACTACATAAATACAGAACCCCATTAATTATATTCCACATCCATTCCCTAAGCCATTTTCAGGCATGAGTACGGTTACTGACCGTGGCAGAAAAGGAAACAACTAAATTTTCCTCTTAAGTTCAACCGGCTTAAGCTAACTTTACCATATGGAGACATCATATCTATAGCTGAACCTATCCCATTTTAGACACATAATAAATATGAGTCAATTCTAATACATTTTCACTGTATTCTAATAGCTGAAACCAACAATACAAAATTCAGCTGGGACCAGATGAGACGAACCAGTATGTCTGGTGACAGTAAACCAAAAATTTGAATTGACAAAGACTGAATTACCTCATCCATGACAGTCGATGATTTGATATAATAAAACTGGGAAGACTGCCTATATCTTATAACATATCTATAGATACCAACATAAAAAGCAAGAGGCAAAGGCTCAAAGCACAAGCTGCTACAAATGGAAGTTGTCTCCTTGCTAACATAAGAAAAGTCTTGCAAGCTTCAACCTCCTCACCTAGAAGTACGTCAAGTAAAAACCTCAAAACGGTAAACTATGGTCATTTCCCTTAGTTCAGGATGATATTAATCTTGTCATTATTCAAGACCCATCATAAAGCATATGCTTCACGACAACACATTTAATTAGGTTCATCTATTTAATAGGATCCCGTATTAATTGAAAGAATAGTTCAATCGACCAAATAATCATCGGCTGCCCCACTCTCCTAGCTCCTTCACTTGCAGTATTCCATTTAACTCATTCTTGGCACCAAAAAAATACAATTTCACAGAATCCTTGAATATTAGGGGCCTATCTTGTAAGAAAAAATACGATGTGTTAGAATAATTAAATATTAAACCACGCCTTCATCTAATAGCTTAAGCTTTTAGAACAGTTGACAGTGGTCACACCAAATCTCTCGTGGTATTAGAGCCAGGAGGTCCCAAGTTCAAATCTTTCCGGATCTCATTTGCCTCCCCAATTAAATATGGCTACGCTTAGTACTAGGTAAAAAGACCAGGATAAGCGAGAGGCGAAGTGTTAGAATAATTAAATATTAAAACATGTCTTCATCTAACAGCTTAAGCTTTTAAAACAGTTGGCAGTGGTCCCACCAAATCTCTCACAACATATATCTTACTAAAGTGGAAAGTACAAACTTTGAGCACAATTTACGTAAGCTGTACAGATGTATTCATCCTCACATGGTCTGACACCTCTAAATCATATAGATTAAGAAGAGACCGCCATTCTACGGAAATCAATCCCACTGGCACTTTAAACTCATAAACACCGGCTAATTTTTTTAAAAGAACATAACCAATCACACATGCAACAAATGAAAAATGACTGCCAAAAGACATAATTCCATATTTGATAGACAGGAATCAGCATTCAACGAGGTGATTATTGAATGATCCCATCAAAGGTGGCTGGAACAATGTGCATTGAACATTAAAAACAAGAGAGAGGCAATTCCATGCTCTCACATTCTCATCCCACCACTTAACAACTAGACTCATTCGTATCGTGATATATGCCCTACAAAAGAAAATCAAATATCACTCTATTGTCCAGCTAGATAAAGTACTTTTTTTGTTTAACACCCTTGGAAAAGCAAAATTAAATATTGCTCTCCTGTTCCGCAGGAAAAAAGATATGTACTTTCTTTTTTAACCCTTTCCAAAAATTTTGTTATTTGAAAACCCAAATGCAGTGCCCCTCATTATTCCAAAGAGTTGTGCAACACGAACAGAGAAGGTTCAATGATGAAAATGATGGCTATGAAATGTCGATGCACGGAGTGTACAGTTTTGACAGGATTTTGGCTTCAGTAACCCCTGTAGTGGTTTCGACCAAAAAAAAAAAGCACCTGTAGTTGTTAGGCCTAATCAAGTTTAATGTGTGGACAATTCCAAAGATGTATAAGAATTTTTATCACTACTTCTATGACCAACTAGTAGAAGGGGGAAAAACCAAAAATCTAGCGGTTTTAAATGTCGCACCTATAAACCAAAGGTATGATGCTTGTTCAATTCTAACTTTATTCGAATTCAACACCAATCTTATTTCATTGCGTCTCACTTCCATTCCTTACAACTAAACGTGACCTCCAATTCAATTTACCTGTCGTGCTGTTTTGAGTCTCCTCATCGCAAAATGCAAAAACAGGGAAATAAAATCCTTACCAGAATTCCACACCTCAAGAGGCCAAAAAGAGAATTTACACATAACAATGTGGTTAGGACCTCATGCTAAAAGGCACATATATGAAAGTAGACGGAGCTTTGGAATGAGAAGTTTCAAACTTTGTTGAGCTTTCTCCATAGAGGAGTCCAAATTCTTTTGGAGGAGTCCAACATAGATTTCCTACCCACACCAAGGTCATGTCGATGGTAGCATGGGTGTTAAAGACCAGTCCGAGTAACAGAGGAAATAACGAAAGGTAATTAAAGCATTGCATTCTCCATTGCATCAAGCAGCAACAGATTCAGTCTACATAATAAAAAAAAGTTGATTGAGGTTCTTTAAAAAAGTAGTAACTCTTAAACAATATCAATTATGACCCATGCGAGAGCGTAGTTGTCAAAATTCCAATCTTGATGATGTATCTTATGGTTTTACAATACAGAATATCAAAGAACGACCTGTTCTTTAATTTGCCCGGATATTTGGAGATTCCTAATTTTGATTGAATAGATCATAGGTTGGCGCGATTCTACCGATTCAGTTTTCATAAAAGTTTCTACATTTCGAGATTTTCGCGTAAGGGGCAAAAGACTTATTGTTATAATTTTAGAGATCATATAGGTCTCGGCAATACCAGTTCTTTGAAGTTCTGGTCTATTAAAAACGTTTGTTCATTTGTACACAGGTGTTTATATATATGTCATATAAGACATACAACGTTATGATCTTAGATCTGATCACAAGATCCAATCTTTCAAACACCACTATCGATTAGAAAAAGGATCAGACTTTCATGACCTTGTTTGGGACTATTAAAAACAATGCCGTGGCTTCCTCGTTTTTCTCGAGATGAAACTTCTTCCATTGCAGGACCATTACATGAGACAAATTCACCTGATCAAGGAATTGATTGGAGCATATTCAACAATCCAAAGGGACAGAAAGAAACGAGAATGACTCATTAAGATCTTCCTACATGCAAAAGCAATAATAGCTCCCCGTCAAGGAACATGAAACTAAGTACTTATGTAGCCATCATCTCTCAAATGGTAATAGGTATAATCATCACCATCGTCATAAATAATTTGACCACAGCCAAAAAATTCTAGTCATCAACAATTTCCACCAGAGAGTTAATTGTCAGCAACTGATCTAAATGCAGAAAAGATAGAACAATTGATCAAACAAGACAAGAAGTAAGAATCTCAAACATAGCTACATTTTTAAAGCAAATGAATGAAACCCAAAGAATCCATCTCCAAAGACGAACATAATGGTTCTACATAGTTCCATAATTTCTTAAAGCTTGCAGAACATAAAATTAAGTTTACCTCAGCCCTTGTAATGCTGCACTGCATCACTTTCGAAATGCGTCACTTCTCCAATTTAGTTATAGGATATGGACACCATCCTCCAACTTTCCAAGACAGTTCAGTTACAGAGAAGAGGAGGCTTCCCAGTCCATTCATCCGCAGCACCATAGTCAAGGCTGAGCTCCCTCAAAGGAGGAATATTCTCCATTGCAAACAACATTATGTGAGGAAACGAAACATTATTATGATCATACAATACATACTGCACCATTACATTAGAAGTTGAGCTGTGGCTAATATAACAAGCAACATTCCTCATTTTTGAGACATCCATTGCAAAATCCAAAGGAGCAATTGATGGATAGGCAGGGCGTGCATAATCCGGAAACACTTTGGATAAATCTCCCCACTTGGTCCATTTAGCAGTAAACCTGCCCGGGTAGACCAATGGATCGCCACTCATGCTGAAAATCTGGGCTTGGTCTCTCGTGAGTACAACTCCTGCATATTCACAGATAAAAGCACCAGCTTGTATCAACTCTAAGGTCCTAACACCCCAATTGGTCTCCTTTGATCTAAAAATCTCCAACTTACTACTTAAACCTTTCTGTGTCACACGATTACGGCAAGTCGGAGGACACTTACAAAATGGCCCACATTCAAAAATTATTGGCTTTCCCCTCATAAGTAACCCATTGTGATCATAGGCAAACTCACCCCCATTTCTCGAAGCACAAGAGCAATTGCTTCCACAACTCAGAACACATTCACACCCGCTGCCGTTGGCATTTTGAAGCATCAAATACGGAGGAAACGCAGTCCTGGCTAAGTACTCATAATGCAGGGGAGTGCTATCAGAATCAATGTCATTAAACAGAAAAACAGGCATGCATTCCTTCCTCGCCGACATGTCAAGACTGAGATACCCCCTTGGCCTAACCGTCAGCGGCCTTGTCCTAAGGGTCTGAGCAAACCTCATGATAGCACTACCCATTTCCGGTTGCCCTTCAAGTCTCACCAACTTATACTTGTATACCCCGAAACCAGACCTCCCAACATCAAACCAACACTCAAGAATCCTATACAACCCATCATACACATATATCTTGGGTGTCGCACCACCCCCGTATCTTATCCCCCTTATAACCCGAACTTCAATTCCATAGTGCATGCTCCTTTCCATAGCCAAATTACCACCCTCCAACTTCTGGTGGTTACACTGCTTATTGAGCTTATCCTGCCCACCATGACCGGTATATATAATCACATCCCCCGCATCCTCATCATCCTCATACCCTCCAGACACAATGACACTGGTCGCAATCGGCTCGCCATTTGAGCTCTGGCTAGCAGTCAAATAATCAATGCCGGCTTGCGGCTGACCATGCAAACCAACAACACACAACTCCATCCTATAAAAGAAGACATCGCCTATCTCTACGCCGGGTAAAGGTCCCACGATTCTCTTATCACGATTCACCCACAACCCACAACCTCTCATCATGGAAGCAGCCGCCAAATCACCCCTCCTCATCCTACCATCAAGACCCTCCTCATGCGACATATAAAAAACACGCAGGCTATCGTAAATCAGGCGGGCGGTGCGCACCTCCTCGCGAAAGTACCTCTTGTCGTCGTCGCCGAGATTGGCGACCCTCACGAGCTCCGACGACCGCGGCTGCAGCTGGTGGCGCCGGCCGCCACCGCCGCTCGGCGAGGCCTCGAAGGGCGCGAGCTGCGCCTCCTCGTTCTTCACCGGGACGATGGCCCGCGTCTTGGGATCCAACACGTCCACGTCCCCCCCGCCGCCGCCGCCCCCGCCGCGGCGGCACCTCCTGGCGAACGCGCTGCGGAAGAGCGCGGAGACGCGATGGAACTCGGAGAAGAGATGGTCGCCGCCGCCGTCCGGGGAGGGGGTCAGCTGGGTGCTCGGGGAACTGAGCAGGAATTCAGGAGGGGGGGCGGCGGGATCGGGAAGCCCCGGGGCCTGCAGCGGCTGGGGCCGCTGCTGCGGGGGGTGGTGGTGGCGGCGGCTGGCGACATGGGTCCGAGCGGGTTCGTCGAAAGGCTCGAGCTTTGGCTCGATCTTGGGAGTGACGGTGGCGGACATGGGCGGGTCCGGCAGCAGGTTGAGGTCTTGGAACGGAACCAGAGAACCCATTTCGAGGAGAGAGACAGAGACAGAGAGACAGAGACAGAGGAATGGTGGGAGTGAGGTGTGTTCCTCAGGTACAATACAATCTAGGATGGGTAGAGTTTTTGATTCAGTCAGGAGAGATTTCGTTTGTCTGTTACGGAAGGAGAGATAGAGAGAGAGAGAGAGAGAGAGACAAAGGGAGGCTTGGAGCTAGATCAATGGCGGATTCCGAAGAGAGAGAGAGAGAGAGATGGATGAATATATTTTTTGGACAGGAGGTGGCTCTTTGTTACTTAGGAAAATGAGATTAATGTCCTCTGTGAATTGACGCACTTGCCCCTCTCCCCCATGGTGCCTTGTTTTTTCCTTCTTCTTTTTTCTTTTCTTTTCTGTTGTTGAATTTCTAGGTTGGGACATGGACGGGCCTTTATTTTGAATTCGAAATTTTTTTGGTAGGACATGGTGCTTGCGGGATATGAGAGCAAGCTAATCATTATTATAATATATTTTTCGGTAGGTGTAGGTGGGCGCCAGCTAAGGGCGCGCCCCGGAAAATGGAATGGAATGGAATGGAATGAGACGGGTGTTTCGAATTATATAATTGGATTCGACGTCGTCGTTGAGGAATAAAGTAACCCTTTTTTTTTCCTCCGGAGGAAAAAAGGCGGAAGAAAATGAAATGGAATGGGAATAATCATCTTTTTTTTTCGCCATCGAAAGAAATTCGACTGGTGACAGGCCATTGCTAAAAGATGGAATAACTTTATTGGGGAAAAATATCGAATAACCCCCTTGAGGTAGTCTCCTTCTTGAAAAGCGCTCTTGAATTGGAATTTCATCTCAAATGGCCTCGAAATTTGTCTTGTGCGTGTGCTCTCACGAAAAAAATGATCAACCGGCACATAAGTGCATCTCGAAGGGCAATTTTGTCTAAAAATCATAATAAATGGTCATTCAGAACTTTGACCCAATGTGCAATGCCGTCTCTAAATTTTCAATTTATTCAATGCGATTCCCGAACATTAGTCCAATATGCAATATCGTTCCGGGAGAGAGAGAAGCAGAGAGTAGGGAAGGTCGGACAGCCGCGGTGGCGGCGACGCCCGCCAAGAACCGACAAGGTCCTGCATCCCTAGGACCGACCTCCAGGCGGATGTTCTCCGCCGTCGGCGCTCTCGCGGAGACAGAGAAGCATATCGCTGAGTTTTGGCTCCGGTTGAAGTGGCGGCAGCTTTCATTGATGGGCTTCATGGATTTCCTATGTTTCTTGGGACTTCCATTTTGTTCCCCCATCTTCAATTGGTAATGATTGCTGAGGCAGTTCGGTTAGCTTTAAGCCGCAGAACTTTCCTCTCTTGGGGAAAAAAATCGAGAGAGAGAGATCTCGTTCGGGGCAGCGATACGTTCAGATGGTTTGCTCTCGTCCATCGAATCCAAAGCTCACGATCCAAAGTTCGAACCCAGGATAAGCAATTTGGAAACTTTCGAAAACTAGCCGGTATTTGATCCCACGGAAGCGGGAAAATTATTTAAAAAGTCCTAAATTTTGTTGTATTTGTATCAATTCAATTTAACCCTTTCAATTTAGTACTTTCGGCAAATTTCGACCGAAAATCGATGACGTGGATATTAGCCATCTTACGTGGCATGGCCGGCACATACATGGATTTCTTTAATATATTCTTTTCAAAGATTCTGAATTTCTATAATTTTTCCTCTCTTTTTTCTCTTGTTTTTTTTCTTTTTCTTGTTGTCCTTGCCCGGGGAAGGTCGCCGAATGGCTGTTTGGGCAAGGACGCGACCCTCGCCGAAGCCAACAAGGGCTTCGCAGCCCTCACCCACTGGCCGGCGAGGGTCGGCCTCTCTGGTCACAGGCCCCTTGCCTAGTGGCCGTTTGGGCAAGGGCCATGACCCTCACTCACCGCCGACGAGGGGCGACGAGGGCTTTGCAGTCCTCGCTGAACTTCATATAATAAAAAAGAAAAAGGAAAAGAAAGAAAAGAAAAAGAAAAGATAAAATCAAAAAAATCAAAAAAATTTAAAAAAATTATAAAAATTGTTCACATCAGCACCGGTAGTCCTATAAGTCACTGCCGATGTCCACTTCAGCAATTTCCAGTCAAAATTAGGCGAAATGACTAAATTGGCAAATCGTCAAAAAGGATCGGGACTAAATTGACCAAATTGAAAAATTTAGACCGAATTGGTACAGATAAGATACATTCATGACTTTTTTGGTAATTTCTCCTTAAAAAAAAAAAACAAACCGCAGCCTGCATATTCCACTTTTAACTCCATTTTCCAGCATTTTCATAATGTCTCCTAAACGCCATGCCAGAACTCCATACGTCTCGGGGTGACCCCATAACGCCGTGGTAATTTCGTCGGTCCCACTTTTTTATCTCCCAGCGTTTTGACCTCTTCTCTCCTCTCACTCGCGGTTTTGCTCGCCGCAGCGGAGGAGAGAGAAAGAAAGAGAGATAAACACGGCGAGAAACGCGAAACGTGGCGGCAAGCTCGAAGGAAGCGGCGGCCCGTTCACCTGAGCCCGGCGAGGGACCCGCCTTCGCCGGTGCCTGGGTGGTGCCGTTGCCGCCGCCACCGCCGCCCAGGTTCGCCCTTCTCCTTTGCCTCGGCCGGCCAATTTTTTTTTTCCGACGGGCAATTAGCATCGGGCATGCATTGATACACACTCGTCAAATATAGGGTCATGTGATGTGATATAAAACTCAAATTATTCATGGGGTCCTTTATGAGAACAAGCCCCACTTCAAGAGGTTAATTGAAAATTCTATATTTTGCTTTTCGTCTAATCTTTGATAGTGACATGTAATTGATGAGTAATGAAATCATTACCCTAGACAAAAAAAATGAATCATTAGAAAAACATTTTCCATTTAACAATACTCAACTTCGATAGCGACCCGACACTCACGATGATGGATAAGATAACTCTATATGAGAAAAAAAAGTAAAGTGAATTCGAATGAGTAATTTCTTTATAGAAATGTATTTTGACCGCGAAATATCATTGATGAGGATCTGAATAATTATTTTACTACACTCTGACTTCTACGGCAACACGTCATTGATGTGCAGTAAAATAACTTTATATTGAAGAAGTTGACATTAGAAAAAAGAATGAGTATCTTTCCATAAAAAATATATTGATTATCGACGTCATCGATGAGGATGAAGGCCTTTTTCAGTTCTTAGTACTCAATGAAATAGTGACATTTTGAAAAAAAAAATGTAATAGCGACAGGACATTGACGAGGAACACGATAACTTTATTGGTGGAAATATTAGTATTTTCATAAATTTATATTAAAATTTTAGCTTTTCTCACCTCCTGAGTAGGAAAAATATTGTTCTTATGTTATATATGATTACATTTATGCGATTTATTTATAAAATTTTAAGTGAAAATTGTGAAAATTTACCGTCTTTTCAATTTATGAAGCGATAACGACCTTTTATCCTATCATTCATCATGACAACGGAAAAATAAAATTGCCATTTTTTCAATTTATGAAGTGATAACGACCTTTTATCGCATCATTCATCGTGACTAAAAAAAATATGGATGTCAAATATGAACAACCATTTTAATATATATATATTTTTCTGGTAAAGTCAACTAAATTGACCTGCACATAATGTGAGTAGCCTTCTTAATTACACTTGTACATATGATAATTGACAACAAAATTATACAATTACGAGCATTGACGTGCAGGCAGCATAACAGAAATAAAATGAAAATACTTTAGTAGAAAAGAAAAAAGAAAACTGGCTAAAATATGCTTTTGAAATAAAATGTAGTCTTTCATATTCTCATGTATTAAACGACTTTCACTTTTTTAACTTTTTTATTTTTATAAGTATCAATTTTCGTAATTTGAATTTTTCTTACCCGAAATACCTTAAAATTTTCATGATATATAAATGTTGATATGTAAATTCCCATTAAACTTTTCATGTTTTTTTGAAGTTTTACATAATATTTTAAGTTTGATCGGAAAGCCAAAAAAAAATACTTTCTTTCTTTCAAAATGTCAAAATAGACGTGCAAATGTCACAGCCGAGAGACGATCGACCCATGACACAAGCGCATTCCTAGTGTTGGGCACCAAAAGAAGGGAAAATAGTTTAATTGCATAAATAACGAGAAGAATTTTTTTGGATCTCAATTCTTTAGAGTTTTTTTTTTTGTCATAATTCTTTAAAGTTTGAATAGTCATAAGATGAGGGAGATGTAAATTGGATGTCCAAAACAGTTATAGGAATACACTCTAGTTATCTTGGCTACTTTTATTATTGTGATTTTTTATTCTATAGTTTTTCTTCAATTAAGAGTATACTTTTCGGTAGATGTCAAAACTACGATTTATATGAAGCATAAAGCAAAGTACATATTATTTGAATTGGGAAGGAAAAATCGAATAAAAAACAAAAGATTTAGTAAAATTCATAAAATTAGTTTTTTTCTCAACGTAGAAAACTGAAAGTAAAGTAAGATATTTAAAAAAAAATGGAAACTTGAGTTAAATTCATTCACTCATGATAGAAAGTAAAGATATCTTAGTTTCAAGTACTATGGCTGTTTGAGTATATCTTAAGTTAACAAGATATTGGAAAACATTGCTTTTCTTAACAAATATATCACATTTAAACATAAATAACCAAATATGAAACCATTTATCAGCATTTCCATTATAAATTACAGAGTTTGGTTGACGTAGGTGTTAGACTACAAAAACGTCGTATATTTGTCCTGTATACAGCAAAAAATACATAATTTGATAGGTTGTTACGGGAATCGATAGAATTGAAAATTCATATTAAATTAGAAAATTCTGAAATAAACAATAAATTTGCTTGTGATTTAGTGTTCTATAGATTCACTTAGTAGATATAGATTGTTAAGATCTTGAACTTAATTGAATCGTCTTCTATCAAATCATTGGATACCGAAAATTTGCCAGTCAAAGTAAGATAATTTACTTTAGACATAGTAGAGTTGATGCGTATGCGCCGAGTGTGCAAAAAAGACAAAATCATTTGCCATAGTAAATGTAATAAAAAGGGAAAATTCCAAATAAAGATTTGAAGTTCTATCATTTTTTCAAGTAAAGGCATAAAGTGTCCATGACAGACTAACTTAATGTTCTGGTCGCTCAAGGGCATTTTCATCAAAAGACAATTTTAATTCTAAATTATTTTTTCTTTT